TGGTAAATGTTCATTTTAAATGCAGGCCTATCACATAAATGAAAGGATTGATTGATGAATTTAAGAACTGAAATTGAAAGGATAAAGAGATGGCCAAACTTAGAAAAGAGATGTCGGTAAACTTAGAAAAGAGATCCCGATGCAGTCCACACTGGAACACTGTTCGGTAATTGGGTCATATCTGGAGCTATAGATCTTAGATTTAGGTCTACTTTATATGGATGGAAAGGTAAGGCATATGCCTACAACTTTCATATGGAGCCCAAGATCTAAAAAGGCCATTTTCAAGTCCAAATTGTAGCAACAACAAAGAAGCCCGAATCTGTCCTACAGCCCGAGCACTGTTCAGTATTTTAGCCATATCTGGCGTTCTAGAATTCCAAATGAGCTGAATTTTTTACACAAGAAATCTGAGACAATTGCCTACAACTTTTATGTTTTCGAGGTTTCAATTCTGACGTTATCAATGACTTTTTGGGCAGACAAGAGAAGATAAGGATTGTCACCAAGTCAAGAGTTGGTCACCCACTCATCAATTAGTCATCAAATCAATAGTTCCCAATTTTGGCTTATAAAAGGAGGCATTTGCCATGCATTTAGGCATCTTGGTCTCCAGATCAAGATCATGCTTTTGCTTTCTCTCTTTGTATTTTTTGTAATGTTTATGCTTTGCTTTCATTAATATCAAGTTTATGGCTTTCATTTCCTTTCATTTACTTAGCTAACTTTTATCTTGTTTATGTTCTTGTTTTGTTTATTTATTTTTCTTTCTTTTATTATGTCTAGCTAAGTTTATTATGTCAAGGTGAAAAGGTTACACTAATGGTGTAAGAATAAGTATAGTGTAAACTTAATATGGACTTAATGTTTGATACTAACATGTTTTATATTTGTTATCTTGTTCACTCTTTAATACTTTGCTTGTTAAATGACTAATATTGATTTATGTTGTATAACACTTGGTACAACAAATGCTTGGCACTTTCATAGCCCATACTGTATGGTATAACCGACACCTGAGCTATGAAAGGAACTTGATTTGTTATTAACATAAGTTATAATCATGAATGCTTGACGAAATTTACAAGTATTAGCATTAATTGAATAAGATGACTAATGTAATCATGGTAACAATTTATAATCTAATTGGAACTTCCTTTGTGTGTGGTTTCCAATTGAACAATAAGAGTTTATACTATACTTGTTTGACATACCATTAGTGGAACCTCTAACCTTGACATTTGTTATTATCATCGTTTAATCCTTACATTAATATTCCATCTCCAAGTTCTCATCATCTTCTTCTTCTTCTTCTTTTCTTTATTATTATTATTATTATTATTATTATTATTATTATTACTATTACTACTACTACTACTACTATTACTACTACTAGTATTGTTATTATTATTATTACTATTATTATTAGTATTACTACTATTATTATTATTGTTATTGTTATTATTATTATTATTATTGTTATTACTATTATTATTATTGTTGTTGTTGTTGTTATTATTGTTGTATTATTATATTTATAATTTGTACAATTAACCTCCCTGTGGTTCGACCCCGGTCTTGCTGGGTTATTTATTACTTCGACACTTCTACACTTGGGAGAAGACATCAATCTTTTAGTCGTGTCATAGCCCTATATTTTTTTTTTATTTCCCTTTGAATCAACCTTCAAAAAGTAACTCATATACTGATGTTCGCTTTTACCTAACCTTACAAACATTTTTCAAACTTTTCAGCAGCTTTTAACATAAGATAAGTTGAATTTCATCGAGTTGCAACATCCAAACACAATGATTTCTTACACTCTATATACAAATTTCTACATACTTCTTAAATGCAAGTTGCTTAGAAGGTGAAGATCTCACAAACCTAATTGCATTTCAAATCTTAACAACCGAAACATTAATCTCTTTCAAGCAATCACGCATAATGAGGTTTACAATATGTGTACAACATCTAACATACAAATGTTCATTTGACAATATATTAGTTCACCAATTTTTCATCAAATTCTTTAAATATAAAATAATAACACTATTTAAGCTTGCGTTGTCTACTATGATAGTTAAAAATTTATCAATCCCCCAATCTAACAAACAATTCTCAATAATTGATCAATTGTCTCACCGATATGATTGAAAACTTGACAAAAATTTAAAATTCTTTTATGTAAATTCCACTTATTATTAATCCAATGAGCTATTAAAGATATATAGTTAATGCTTTGGATTGATATCCATATATCTATTGTTTAGCATAATCGTTAACATTTAAGAGCTCTCTTTAATCTTTTCTTCTCTTTAACATAAAGTTTCAAACAATCTCTCATAATATTGAAGCGAGAAGAAACGTGAAATTTAGGCTGTACGATCCTAGAAAATAATCTAAATTCCTTACCCTCTATAAAATTAAGGCAACTTATCAATTATAACCATTTTTATTAGTGTTTGTCTATATTTATTATAATTATAACATATTGCCTTAAGAGTTCTCACATTTCGATCTCCTAATTCACCCTTTGTTTTATTAGGTTCTATTACCTAATTGTTTTTGCTTATTTTCAACCACAAAAGGAAACATTTTGTATACTTTTAAATGACTCCATATATTACTTATCCTATTAATAATAATATAAAATATATAATCATTCTATAATAATTACATTCAACTTTAAAGGTTGTAGAATCACCATCAAGTTTTATAAAATGATCCCAAATTTGTGATTTTTTTTTAATCATCAACATTTCTTTTCTTTGATATAAGGACTTGAAGCTGTTTACCTTTATTATTCATGGCGGATCCTGAAATAGTTGATGTTGGCTTATTGTTTGAAGTTGGGGTATTAGTTAATGTTGGGGTAGTGCTAGTGAATGAAAGTTTTCCATTTGTACCTACCAAATGAAAACATGTTAATACTTATGCATGTTGAAATATACAGTATATAACTTTTAAGAAAGGTTAATAAACAAGATAAAACGATGAAAAACATAGCATTTATCAAATAAAGAACTTAAAAGAACAATTAATTGCAATGTCATGATGCAACAACCAATAACTATGGATAAAAAAACCTAAAAAATAGCAAAGCATCAATTAGAAACATTCAAGAAAGTAAATAACATACTTAAAAACCAAACTGAAATTAAAACTGTATAAACCAGAAAAAGTAATAGATAGTCAACTAGACTTGAAGGTTGAAGCACATAAATATGAAGCACATAAATAACAATGAATCTCAACAATAAAACACAATGAAATAGACTTAACCATAACATGAAAAAAAAATGATTTAAACAGCAACCTAAAGCATGAAATAAGAGCAGGTTTGATTGTAGAAAAAGAACATAAAAATTAAGTGAATAAGGATTGTTGATGTTAATCTATCATTGAATAAAAAGACTACACGTTCAAAGGAATATTGCAAAAATTTGACTCTTGTCAATATCAAGTAATCAACTATTTACTAAAGATCTAAAGAATGAACAATCATCAAAATAAAAAATAATAATCTATCTCAATACATGAAAGAAACAAGGAAAGGTGAAAAAAGAGGATATGGTATCTAAAATCATATTTTAATCAATCAATGATTATGAAAAAACAATAGGGTAAAAGTGGACCCCCTAGTCCCTAGTGACATATGTTTCAACAAATAAATGAAATTAAAATATAGATCCAAATCGATAACTTCTTTAACAAATAAAAACCACAACTTACCTAGAAAAGCATATTTAAAACCCAACTTTTATGAAACTAAATAATCCAAACTTGTACATAAAACAATTTAATCATATATTATCATGTTACTTATACGCAAAACTAGTTGTAGTTGGTTGTTTTTATGACAATTAGTTATAGAAGCTATTTAGTAGATGGTCGTAGTGGTCAACAAGCTAGAAAATCAGTCATCATATGATTTCTTGATAATTTATGATTGGGTTAACATAAGCTCGATTCGAATTCAAAGTAATATTGATGAATTGTTATAGAAATGATATCAATAACTAATATCGTTTTTTTTGTTCATAAAAAAAGAATAATCAACTATCTTTTAATTTGTTTGCTTTTATCTCTAGATTTTTCTATCTATTCCAACAACCAATTTCCTATATTCTAATCCCAATGATAAAGCAAAATCAACAAAAAGCTAAACTTCACAAAGCATATGTCAAAGAAAAAAAAGTAACAGAGTGAGAAATCTTATTACAAAGAACTAAAGAAAGGGTGCTTAGATGGATTACTACTAAGGCTTAGCTGCTTGGGGCTATTGTTGGGATGCTAGGTCTGAGATGTCTAGCATTTGAAGGCTTTTCTACTAGATCTGATTCATGTCTTTATTCATTACCATATAAGGTTTTCCTAAACATAGGATCTAAGCCTAAGCTCGTTGGACTTGCTAAAGGAACCTCTTTCGAGATGTTAATAATAGTCCTAGTGTGGTAACATAGTTAAGTAGAGGAGAAGAAAGACAAGCAATGCTCTAAGGTTTGTTTAACAAAGATAATGGCTCACCATATGGTGATCTAATGACCGATAAAGATCCTAGAATTGGGTGTGGCACTGTGGATTGAAGATTAAGGAGGAGAAGAAAGATATTGTCTATATCTCTAAACTTTTGAAGGGAGGGGGTGGCATGCGAATGAAGTTAGTCTACCAGGTTAATGAGTTATTGTTTATAAAAAAGCTTTTTTTTATTTCTAAACTAAGCTGATTCGATTCGGATTGCTTAATTTAATCATTATAAAATTAAAAACTAAACCAAACCAAATATTTTTCTAAATATTCTAACTTGTTTAACAAGTTTTTTTCATGATTTAATTTTTATAATAATTTATTTTTAATTTTTTTAGTTAAATCAGTTATTTGATATTTTTACTCTCCGATTCCTTAACACTGTGGAGGGCAAAAAGGTCCTGTAACAATCCAGCTTTTTCGATAATAAAAAAAAAGAAAAAAAATCACTGCCTTCTTGTCGTAGCCCCGCCCTACTGCTTCTCCAGAAACTTCCGCTTCCGCTTCTTAAAAAGAACAGAACACAAAAACACACCTTCTGAAAGTAAACAAGTTCCGTTGCTCCCACTTCTCCCAGTTTTACTATTAATTAAAATAAAAATAAAATGTTCAAGAAGGCGATTGAGGCAAAATCTCATCAGAGACTCTCTGGAGCTGACCGGAAAAAGCTCAAACGAACTATCAGAGACCGCTTTCATCGGGCCTCCGATGCTGATATAGATGCTTTGCTCCCTCCCAAAGTAACACTATTTTCTTCTTCCCCCCCCCTCAATTTCTTTGTTTGACATTATTATTATTATTACTATCCGTTTAGTGTGTAATTAATAGTTTAAAGTTGTAATTTTGATGCATCTGTACTCAAATTCTTTTTATTTTTTTTAGAATTTATATAAGAAAATGATTTCACCAGTGCAAATGTGCTTGAAAGAAGAAGCAATTAGTTTTAGTGCTACTTGATATGTTAATTCTCTTTACCTTTGATCGCTGGATCGCTGTTTTGATTATTGCTCTGATGTTTTGTTATGATTGTTGTGTTTAGGCGGAAATTACTGTTTCAAAGTTTGTAAATAGGGTTCATTTATATGGTGTTGAAGGTAGCTTTCCTATGTTTTTCGATGTTGATGGCCGAGGCTCTGAAATTTTCCCCACAGGTTAGGTTTCACACTTTCATGTCTTATGTTTCAATCCACTTTCTCGCATTTTATTCACAAATAATTGAAGTTTGTTAAAATGTAAGTATGGATAGTGAACGCTTCCATTCCATATTTGCTTGTCATGCTGCTTTTTCTTGAAAGTCAGGACAATTTATGTAGTTTAGCAGGTTTAAATTCTGCTACATCATTATTTATCACATGGAGGATTCTAATGGCAGGGAGGCTTCTGTTTGGTGGTGTGGTATACTTGGTTCTAGAGTAGGTCAATGCCTTCTGAATCAACTTGTGGGCTATTCACCATTGATGATGGATGGGTTTCTAACTCTTGATGACCCCCTCTCCACTGGGGCAAATAAAGACAATAAGAAAATTTTAATGTTTTATGTAGTTTATGAAGGGATATCGATTGTTTTTAATGTTGTTTTTGAGTGGAATCAAATTATCAAGATTGAATTGAATTGAATTGAGGAGAAATGACCTTTTGCCAGAGGTGGCTGTGGAGCTCTCCTGTCATGCATATATGTTGATATTCTTCTCAGAAAGTTTATCTCTAGTTTCCTTTATTGTGGAGAATCTGATTGAATTACTTGCTACTGGATAGAACCAAGCAACCTGAATTTGTCTTTCTTGCTTCTGTAATTGACATGTTAAAAAGTCAAATTATACTTCATTAGTAAACAATTCAAATTTAGAGTTGAGTCACAAGGACAGGATACTGGTTCAAGAAACCATGCCTTGCTTCTATATATTAAAGACAGTTTTGTTGGTGATCATAAATACTGGAGCAGATAGTTGAATAGGTTTTCAGCCTTACTATTGAATGTTGATGCAAGAGATCCACATATTTCTCTCCATTTTTGATAGCTAATAAATGGGTTCCCTTTCATTAAAAGGCAGAATAAAGGAGCCTTAAAAAATGAACCTCCAATTTCATTCTCTAATCAGAAGTGACACAATTATTTAAACAGGAACTTGATGCTGTGGTGAAATACATTTTTGTTTGTTTTCTTGTCTGATTTTATTTTTGTCTCTGGCTTGATGCAGTTTTTGCCCTCTGGAAGGTCCCTGAGATGTTGCCTTCTTTCATTCTGAAAGGGGGTGAGGTATCTCGATTTGTCATTGGAGGAGCAGATCTGATGTTTCCTGGTATTAGTATACCTGCTGAAGGCCTTCCTTCTTTTCTAGAAGGTGAGCCATGGGCTGTAAAAGTTCCTGGGAATCCAGCACCTATTGCCGTAAGCTTTTCTCTCTCATCTCCACTTGGGTATTATTGTTCATGCCTTATCTCAGGGAGTTGGCTATGCCTCTTATTCTACCTCATTCATGACTGAGTTGGTTTAGATTACTACTTTTATGAGTAGGGATAAAGATAACTTTAATTTTGTGCAGGTTGGGTCTACCACTATGAGCACTGCTGAAGCCTTGAAGGCTGGTTTGCGCGGAAAGGCCTTACGGATAACTCATTATTATCGGGATTTACTTTGGTTAGTGTACCTTCTATTTGGAGAGATTAGTTATTAAGTGTTTTCATCGTTGACATGCTCAAGGAATCATCTGCAGGGAGTCAGTTGAGGGACATTATGTGCCAAATGCAGGTTTCCTTGAAGATGTTGTCTTTGAGGATCCTGTTTTCTTATCATCTGCCCAGGTTCCTGATTCACGTGAAGGTTCTGGTGATTCTTCAAATCATGAGAATGATGGTGTTGACAGCAAAGAAGTTGGGGAATCTGCTGATGTAAAAGATCCCATATCAGACAGTCATCCCACTTCCAAGACACAACTTGATTCTGATACTGATATTGTAGAACAAGTAACAAAAGCTATAGGTGGTCTTAAGGTTACGGATAATATTGCTGCTGATGAATCCACCACAGTTGTTGAAGAACAGCATACTTTGTCTGCTGAAGACTTAGATGCTTATTTGGACAAATGTCTTTTGCAAGCCCTGCATACAACTGTCAATGACAAAGATCTTCCAATGCCAGGAAGCACTTTATGGTAATATTCATGTCCTTTTTTTATTTTTATTTTTTTTCCCTGTCAGTTTGATGAAGGGATGTTAATTGAGGTTCCAAAAGATGGGCACCACTTCCTGTACCCTGTTAAGTATACTAGGACGCCAGATGATGTTAAATTGCTTATAATTTAGCTTGTCTGCTCAGTAAATCCTCTGAGGAAAGATATTTTAGCTTTGAAACCCAAGGATCCTTCTCTTCAAAAACTCTTCCAAGTCTCTCCAAAACAATCAAAAGTGAATTCGAGGAAACCAGCACAAAGCCAAAAACTATTAACTGGTTATGACTGCTAGCTAGCTCCCAACTGAAAAGCAAAAAACCCCCTGAAAGAAAAAAAGGGATTAAACCTCAGTATGATGTCCATCACCTGACCATACACTCTCTAAGAGAGGATCTCTTTCGCCTAGAATTCAGATGATGAACGCCTTCAATCTTCTACCCCTCCTAAAAGGAACCAAAAAAGAATACAAGGAAGCAAACTCTAAAAGCTTTTCCTTTTATCCTCCTCAGAAACAACCACGCATTGCCATCTTTTGAACAGTAAGGACCAAGGTGTCGGCAGCCAAATCCAAGAAGACAAATGCAATGGCCAGGTCCACAGCTGCGAATTAGCCAACATAATAGCATTTTCCTCTTCACTCTTGCACACAATTTAGCAGCCATTCTAAAGTTGAAATGGTGTATAAGGAAGCAGCATGGTTCGCTTCTCATGAATTGGTGTATTAGCTACTGTCATATGATCACTTAACAACACCTTACTAAAATCCACATTTTAGAGCAATGGAAAATCTATTTTGAAGTTTTGAACCCCCATCGATAATCCTTTCCAAATCTAACTCTCTGAACTATTTCCCAAATTAAATCTCATGACAGAGACCTAAGAGACACCAACTGCTCTAGTGCTTTGCCTCTAAAGCCCATTCCACAGATACTGCTACAATTTTTAAAGTTTATCCTTGTTTCTTGGTTCTCCAAAATCATTCTTTCAAAGGCTTTTCCGGGAGAATCCAAGTATATGATGCCTCAAAACTTATGATTTGGTTTTTTGCATGGATTGCCAAGTCTCTAGTGTTGGCAAAAATGTCACGGCTAAATTTAGAAAGGAAAATGTAGCAGATGTCCAATTTCATATGCACATCAAACATGCCATTTTTCTATAGACCTTTCAACTCCATGTTAATAAGATAACATTGAATTATTCCCATTTCTCTTCTCATAATTGCTATTAAAAACCTCAACTATCAGAATGAAGCATTATTTCCTACTGAAATCCATCATAAGGTAAGGCACATAATTAATGACTTTGAGAATGATGCCAATCACCAAGTATTCTTTGGAAATGTGATCTCTAACATTAGGTTTCAGGAATATGGGTGCAGATGAGAGTGACATCTTCTAGAATTCTATAAATTTAATTGACATTTCTGAAGCTTGGAAACCTTGAAGCATTTTATTTGATCTGCATTGATGCTGAATATATGAATTCCATAATGATTTCTGTTAAATTTGATTGTGGAATTATGCTAATTGTAGCTGAGCTGGACTATACTGTACAGTTTACACACACACACACACACACATGATGCTTGACATTATTCCAACTGATAATTTGATTTACATATTGCTTGAATATTTTAGGCTTAGAACTTAAATTTCTGTTGGGAGGGTGTTAAATGTTATGTGCTTGAAATGAGAGGATTTCTCTTTAGATAAGTTTTAGCTTGCAGTTTTCACATTTAGGCGGGAATTTTTTTCATGATTCTCTTGCTTGCTTTATAAAAAAATATTTGTAATTGGTGCAGGTCCAACCATGTATTACCTTGTAGACCTTCAGGTATCACACTAGATATCAAAAAATCATCACACAAGAAATTGTCCAAGTGGTTACAAGCTAAATCATCTTCAGGATTGGTGGGTTCTTCCTTCCCTTCATATGCTCCCTCCTTTCCTTTCTCTTTAGTCAAGTTATTCATGCTGTACTGAAAATGTGCATCTTTTCTTTGTTCTTAGATAACGTTATCTTAATATGATAACCTGTTTTTTTCAAACAAAAAAACCATTGTTCACTACTTATAACAAAATGTTGCAGTTTAGGGTGACATTGTAATTGAGGTTCAATTCTTTTATTTAGAGAACCCAGACAGATAAGTCTCAACTATTTTCTATAATCTCTAATTCTTTATTCTTCCACTGAAACCTTAAGTTCTAGTTGCAGGATAGGATCTATGAAGAAGTCTGGTAATTTATCATATATATCAATATTCACATAACTCCCTGAAACCGTGAATTATATTTGTAATCCCTGGTTAGTTGTATCTAGAAAGTAAAGATAACTTCCAAGGACCGTGGCAGTTAATTGGCATTCTACCATGTTGTAGTTCAAGAGGCCACATGATGTGCTAGCATGTAATCAATGTGTTCTGATACCTGTCCATGGATCAAATGGTCTCTTCTCTGTCATTGAGTTTACCCCAGACAATAAAAAAAAGAAAAAAACTGCATCACGTCCTTTATCCACCCAGTATTCTGCACTGAAAACCTTAAAAATTGGTCATTGACAGGTTCAAAACATGATTTATTTCCTGATAGAAAAAAAATGATCTAACTGGAAGTAATCATACCTGTAGAATGAAATTCGGTGTTGAAGTGGAAAAGTGGCACTGGAGTCGTAGCTATTGAAAAGGCTTTGCTTGATGGATGAAGTTTGGTTGGCTGGCACCACACTATGATAGGGAATGCTAGATAATGACAGCTTTTTCATAAAATGACATAATTTATGATGAAGGTATTTAAAATGTATGGAAGAATTGGATAACAAATTAGGGTATTCACAGGAATGTAGAGTTAAGCATGTTGAGACTGAGTTAAGGGTTTTATAACATGGTTTGGTAGAAGTAGTTGTTTCGAGTGCAATGAGAATGCTATTGAGCTACAATTGTAGTTCTTACTTTCAGGTATGTGCTGAGGCACATCTAGGTGTCATTATACAGAAGCTGTAGCCTGCTTTGGTTTCTGTTTGTTCTCCATAGAAGCTGGAGAAACTTGTCATAGTGAAGGGAATGACAGCTTGCTGTTATTTTGGGAGGATTTATTGTTTATTTGCAGGGGCCTTTGAAGAATTTCTTTCTTTCTTTCTTTGGATGGCCGTGCTGCTGTTGCTAATTACATAAACATGGATATATATTGTAGTTTACCAGGGCTAGTTAGCTAAGAGATAGGTTCCAGTTATTTTAGGAGACTGAGAGCTTCCATACCATGAAAAGTGATCTACTTCTATGGAGTTTCAGTTGAATTAGTATTTGTTTTTTTGAACTTTATGATCACAAACTGAAAGATATTGTTCTACTGCCAATCAATCACATTGGAATTGGTGATGGGTTTTGAGCTAATGTCTGTGACCTTTGTGGTTCAGTGAAGATCTGTTTGATTATGAATGAGAAAACCATCCATTAGAGGGCTGTAACTGTGTCTGCATGTCTGTCTTTACTCATAGTATAATCCACAAGTGGAGAGAGGAAAAGGGCTATCGAGGCATGCTATGGAGATGGAAGTTTTTGTTTACATATTTTATTTTTTCATTTATAATCAATCTTATTTTTTGTTAAGTTGCACATGTATTAAGTAGATATATGCTTGATGTTGAGTTTGCAATGTTTGTTTTCTGTTAACAGATTTCGGTAAAAGAAGACAAATATAAAAAGGAAACTGTCCTATTTTCTGTGAACCGCAGTCACCCAGACTACTTATCCTTCAAACCAGAAAGAAGGCAGGAGCAGAAGGTTGATCAGGGTGGTGATCAGGCTGTTAAAGAAACCCGATCACCAAAACTGCTTGAAGTGTCTGAGATTTATAAACCAAGTGTACATGTCAATCCCATTTTTGCTTTTGTTGGAGCTGATACTGGGAAGCTATACAGTGCTTCAGAAGCCTCTGATGTTGTATTCAAGTACATTGAGAAAGGACATCTGGTAAAGCCAATGAACAAGTCCATTGTGGTTCTGGATCCAACCTTATGTGATGCTTTGTTCAAGGGAGCTATCAAGAAAGGATCAGCATACCCGACTGAGATTCATAAGAAAGATTTAGGATCTACATTTGTAAGCCGGATGCAGGCCCACTACATTGTAACCAGAGGAAGCGAATCAGTTGTTCGTAAAGGTTCAGTGAGAACAATTCAGATATTGACTGAAAGACGTCAAGGTAACAAGAAGGTGACAAAACTCTCAGGCATGGAAACATTCTTGATGGATGCTGATGCATTAGCATCAGAACTGCAGAAAAAGTTTGCTTGTAGTACATCAGTGTCAGAGTTACCAGGTAATTTTTTTCTCCACTTTTTATGAATTGGTGGTTGTAGGTAGAACATATTTGTGTTGCTTCTCTATCAAAGCATTTTGGTTTCAATGTGGCAGTGAGAATAGGATCACAAGGAAAGTAACTTGTACAGAAGTTGCTTGTATGCTGTTAAACTGATTGTGGCTTTTGAATATTATCACTGTTTTCTTAAATCTGTAAAAAAGAAAAAAAGAGAAGCAAAAATTCTCAGCAATCCTCTACTTGATTAGCTGTGATATCACTGAATAGAGTTCTTCATACATAGCATTTCTCACCCTTTGTATGCTGTAGTGGTTCAGAGTTCCTTGGGTAGTTCCCCTTAGTGTTGTCAAAAGCAAAAGGCACCCTAAGACGTCAAGGCTGTCAAATGCCTGAAGCCCCAGGCACTCGCTTGAATATAACAAGGCGCAATGCTATAAATTCAAATAAATTATATATATAATATTATAATAAATAATCACAAATATATATCTTAAAAATAAAGATTAGAAAATCAAAGTGAAACTCAAAATATCTTAACATAGTCATAAAAGTTGTACTATTCACCATTAAAAACAAAATAAGACAACTTAAAAGAGCAAGTGGATTACAATAGTTAAACTTAAATATCATCATCATTAATCTTCCAACACATCATCATCCTTGCTTTCATCTCCTTCACAGTCCCCATATCCACCATTTCAAGATGATCATTTGAATCATCACTTACACTATAATGCACTCCTTTAGCATGGCTGCCACTAAGCCACGATGCTCTCTTTAAATGTGCCTCTAGTTCCATTTTGATGATCTTTTTTCTTTTTAAAACCCTACTCTTTACTTTTACAACTATCCTTAAATTATTTTTTGGCGGTGGATAGAAAAAATAAAATGTGCGGGGGGTCTCACCTCGCCTTGCCTGGAGCTTCTAGGCAAGTGCCTCAGCGCCTCTTGACAAAACTGGTTCCCTTTGCTGATATTCAACAGCGTTGAGTTTTCTTTAATATTGAGACATATTTCTTTTTTCTATTTTCCATCATTTGAAGTTTTTTCCTTTTCCTCTTGTTTTTTTTGGAAGTGTTGCTTGCTCTCCAGCAAGTTTGGGGCTTACGCTCTCATGTTTGTAGTTTTTTCCTCCTTAGAGTTATCTGAATAAATTGAATAGAAAGAAGATATTACATCAGTTTCCACTAGGTTTCTAATTTTTATGTGGTTGTGCAATCCAAACTTGTTAATCTACTTTAGGGAGAAAGAACAGGGTTCGTGTGTCTCATAATTGAAGCTATGGTGGTTGTACTGGACATTTTGGAGTATTAATTGTTCTCCAAGGAATTTTGGTATATTCTATTCTTGATGTGACACCTTCTCTTACTAAAAACATGAAAATAAAAATAAAAATATAGAGAGATAAACATGTGAAAGCATCTGTTTCTTCTATTCATTTTATGAGGAATCAGTTGTGATAGATCACGTAGCAAGAAACTGAAATGCAAAAATCTTTATATATATAGCTAGAAACATCATTAGATGTAGTTGGAAAAAAAGATTTTTGCATTGAGAACATGAATTCAATGCAACAAGGATGCTAGGTCATCTTGTGTTGGTGGAATTTCAAAAGAAGAGGGCAAAAACAAATGAGAAGAAAGTCATTGTTGGTCATTTTGAAGCTCAATTTATAATGGCGTTACTTAGAAAGATGGTAGAGGTAGAAAACGAATGAGAGTCACCTACCAGGACCCTGGAAGCAATGTCAAATACCTGCAGATGCTGAAGGTGGGTAATTTGCTTCCTGTGTGTTCAGGTTGATGGCTAGTTCTTTTTTTGGCATTTTACTGTAATTTCATTGTGTCCAGTTTCAAACACCCTTTAAAAGGGAAGTCGACTACTTGGGTGAGTTGTAGCATCAGGGGCATGAAGTGATCATGCTAGTTGTGATACAATAGTTGCAAGAGTGGCAGCAATTTCTGTGGCGGTAGCAGTAAGGGACTGATGTTATAATGTTAATAGTGGAGTGGAGTTGAGGAATGCTGGAGGGATAAGTGGTGATTTGGATTGTTGAACTGTTAGGTGCCACTATCCCTGTATGAACTTGGTTGATCAAAAAATTACAAGCTGGTAGAAAATAGTAGGATAGCTGTCATATGATCTTATAATCTAAATGGAACACATTTTGTTTACTAGGAATCTAAAATTAAGTAGTTGGATTGGACTCGTATGGATATCTTGTTGGATTGGGCTTCTTATTGCTATTCTTTTTCATAATTAAGCAGGCCTAAAGTAATTGTAATTTAATGCAACTGAAAAAGGTGTACCCTAGTTTATAAGATTTCTGGTATGTAGATTGCATTAGTTGTAATGTTATGGGAGTGCTAATGTTGGCTGTAGTGGTGGAAGTGACTGCAATGACGGTGGCGTATGTTGTAGTGGTGGGAAGTTGGATATTGTGTGGTGGTGCATTACTTATAGCTTCCTTGTTCGTAGACAAAGCTGATTCGGAATTGTCTTTCATTTCAAGGCTTGTATCCATGCGCTTCATATTCGCTTAGAGTTTGCTCCAAGAAATATAGCCATCCCTACCCCTTCACATCAATCTCACGAGCCTCTTATCCATTCTCATTTGATCATAGCGGAGGGTGAGCAAGTCAAAATAGCAAAACTCACATTGGGTTTAGGGATAATCAGGCTCGAACTGATGACATGTGATCACCTCTCTTTGGAGTTGCGAGGTTAGGAGAAAATCTCTTTATGCTTATAAAAATGTGGCGGCTGCGCAAAATCCCATTTCTTCTTTTGAAATGGCATAGCTTTAATAAGCTGAATTGAGGAGTCTTTGGAACTTTAGAACAGTACTAGAGTATGTTACAATGTTTTGAATATCCTGAATCCTGAATCATTTTATTATTTGCTTTATTCATTCATAGTTATTTAGTGTTCCTGAATTTGTATGCTCATATTTTATTTTCAGGTAAGAAAGGGCATGAGGTTCTTATTCAAGGTGGTGTAATTGATGACCTGGCAAGACATCTGGTTGAACAGTATGGGGTGCCCAAAAGATACATTGAAGTTCTTGATAAAACTAAAAAATAAGATGTGATTATCGGTTAGTTTTCTCTACCCAATTAATCTTTTAAATTTTAATATATTGTTGTAGTTTTCCATTAAGGTCTATTTTCTCCATAAATTAAGCACAATTCATTCTTTTTTCCATAGCACCATTTATTCTTTTGCTGGTTTTGCAAGAGTGGAATTGCAATGCATGCTGTGTTTTTTTTTTTTTTTTTTTTGTTTCCTTCTATGTTGTCATGGAGGCCTATGTATGTACAATTGCTAACTTGTTTCTTGTCTTGATATTTACTTGCATTTATTCTACCAAGTTTACCCTTGAGAGAATAAATCAATTTATATTGAGAAGTCCTCGCCAGATAGGCTTCTGAAAGATAATCATTAGATTAGCAGGCCCAATCTAAGTGGGACCTTTTTGGGAAGCCTATAAGGTTAGGCCTACCATTTTTACCCTGGAAATTCAGGAAAAATACCTCAGAAGATTCAGACAAGTCTTTCTATATTTCAAATTATGGCCAGCTTGCATAGTTGTTGCAAAGCGGTCATTATTGCCAATTATAATGTGTAGGCATGTTTTATGTACTGAGTAGCTAACTATTTTAAAGGTGTTGAGGCTTGATGGCATACCTTTTTTGGTTTAGCGCATTATAGTAGCCTCCGGTGGTAATTGGTTAGCAATCTATAGAATATATTTTCGTGAACAGATTGTGTTTGCAACATAAATGGAGTTGAATTAATGTAGTTGGAATAGAATGTTCTTAGCAGTAATTTTCTAATAATCTGTCTTAGTTTGTACATTAATTTGTAAGTTAGCATGTGCCAAGAAGCACACATTTTTTAATATGAGCTAGTGTTTGTTGGCTTGGGTAGGTGCTTGAAGACTAATTTGGCTGGCTGAGATTTAGACCCGATTGATTTGGTTTGGTACATCATATAAAACAGGGCTCATGTCTGTGCAAATTGAACTGGATTACTAATGACCTTATTCCTCTTTTTAGATTTGCATACTCTTGACATAGTCTTGCAAGTTTCTAACAAAGACAATTTCTTTCAGCTTTAGTAGCAAATGTAGCATAGGGGATCTCATCCTTCCTATACCTGAGATTTAAAACTTAATGAAACCATTTTGAAGTGCAGTTATACATGTTTAATGCATGTGATGTTAAACTGGATCTGGAGCGTGCCAAGGCAAAAGGCCATATCACTGGGCCTTGATTAACAAGCAGTGATGATGCTCTTGTGCTTGCATGTAAAGTGGTGATGGTGATTATAAACCTCTCTCTGCCTAGACTGATTATCTTAGGTTACGTGTTTGTTTGGCTGCTATCTGAGAATATTAGTTGGGCTGACAACTGGTCAGTTTCTGGAAAGAACACCTCTCTGATGATACTGTCTTACCAATGCAAATTCAATTGTGTTCACCTTAGAAATTTGGTGATCTTAAATAGGGGAAAGATTACCCCCATTGAGAAATTCAACCACGTGATAGGAGGATAATGATATATATATATATATATTTATTTATCACTGGGAGTCTCATCAGCTTTCATGATGGGGTAGACCTCCCTTCTTTCATCCTCGACCCTTGGTATTAGCTGGATTTGATTTCAAATCACTTGGTTCAATGCCAAGTAACTGTACCAGCTTAGCTGGCTTGCCCCCCGCCCCCCCCTGTGCGTTCTTCCTGTTTGATATTTATCCAGTATTGGCCCAACAATATTGGACACGCATTTATCCAATGCTTTCTCATTGTTCTGTACTCATCACTCAGTTAATTCCTTAAATCAAGTGCAGGCATATACAAGTGTCACTGTCATGAGGTTACAGGAGGCAATGGAATGGTGTGATAACAACTTTCAACCTCACTCTCTATGGTTTGTTGAAGTTAATGGATGCAATCCAGAAACGGGTGCTGAAGAGAGGTTAGAATAATTCTTAAACTTGCCTCAATACAATGAAAAGAGTGTACAGAAGTTCTTGCGCTCCAGAGTATAGGTATATGAAGTTTCTTTTCGTGGAGATGATTAGCTGTTTTATCTTACTCGAATTGAGTTGACTATGGTCTGGTTTAGAGGACTGCTCAAAGCTGTGTTTTGGTATCTGGTCAACTCTTTACCGCACCTCATAGTTATGCAACATACATTTCAACACTTCATGTCACAAGTTGCGAATTAATATGTTTATTTGTAAGTTTTTATGTTGACTATGCGAGTCTTCAATGTTACTAGGAATGCAAGTGTGCATTGTAAAGATCATTGTTGCTTTCGCCATGACCTTGTGGCGCATTTTGGCTGTTATTTTGGTGATCAAGATGGTGGACAGCATAGCTGTGATTTGAGGATGAGGACGGGGGTGTGCATCAGAAATGTTTGGAAATGGTTTAAAGACCAAATGAAGTCCCAAAATGATTGGTGAATTGGACCGATTACTTAGTATTTCCATTTTACATGTATTCTGTGTCACACTTATACAAGGGTCAGAAGAGAGAATGGAGATGGAAAAGAAAGAAAACTCTAATTAGGATCAAGATGATAGATGGAGGGAGAGCTAAAAGGTTCCATCAATGGGTTGAAGGAAGCCACTTGTGATGGTGCTTTGAAGGTGGGAAGATGGGAGTCTATTTATCGGGTTTATAACCGAAAAAATAGAAATAATTCCATTTGATGGTGGTAATATATATATATATTCGACTCTGGAGCCATGTAACCTCGAGTTTCATCTTATCCTTGGGCAGTGATTGGCAGATTCAACACCATCCCATAGCTGAAAACGTGTACTTTGGATGTGATTGGCAGATTCAAAACCCACTCTGGAGCCATGTAACGTCGAGTTCCTCTTATCCTTGAGAAGCTTGATTCTACTGGGCTCTCCCTTTTTATTTGCCGAGAGAGGCCAAAATCTGAGAGCTTCGCCTGGTAGTTGTTATCTAGAAGTGTATTTTGAGGCTTTACACCACAATGCAAAACCCACTCCAAACACTCTTCATGTAAATAAGCAAGGCCTCTAGCAGTTCCCACAGCAATGTCAATCCTCTTTTCATAGTCAAGCACGTGGGAAGATAATTTATCAGTTAATGTGATTGAGCTTCCCGATTATGCTGACTTAAGCTAGGAATTCTGCTTCTCCTTGAATAGCCTCATTCAATTGATTAATCGCTGCAACTCTGCCGTCAGATAGTATTCCTTTGTATTCAATTCCTCCTCCACGTCTTCCAATCTCTTCGCAAAAATCCCCAGTTGCTTTCTTTAGCTCAAGAGCACGTCAATTTTCTGAAGTCAATTTCAATACAAAAATAACAATGTTTACAATTCCTCCACCTGTGGTTTTGGTTTCTTATCAGGAAACACCACACCAATAAAACACCAAAGAATTCAACTACTCCAGATGCACAAACAAACCAAAGGATAGATTTCATTGTTCCACTTTATTGACTTTCTGCATAACTTCTGCTCAGCTGCGTGACAAGTTCACCAGAGCAATCTAACCTGAATTTTTCAGCATGAATGTTGGAATGGAGCTGCTTTATGGCCTTTTCAATTAGACGTTTCCTTCAAAATGTGGCCAAATATGTCCATTTAGCAACGCTGTCTTTGTGAAACAATACGGAATATTACTAGGATAGTCATGCTTGATGAATTTACACCGGAAACCTTTGCAATCACACGTCTGCAAGCATAAATCCTTGCAGGTGTCTAGGGTGTAATTAGGATAAAAGACAAAATCATAGCCAAAAACTCGGCATTAGTCAGTTGAAGAAAGTCAGTCTCATTTTAACCACAATAAACATTGAAATCTGGTTCACAACCCAAAGAACAGTCTATATGATCCTTGATCTTGAATCCTGGAAGGCAAGAACATTTTCTACCAAAATCAGGAACATAGCTGCAATAATTGTTACGACTTGATTCCCAAATCCATGATTGATATATAAATAAAATTTCTTTTCAAGGTTCTATACTTATGCAAACCCAAACTTACATACAATTTTATCCTTTAAACAACTCAATCAGAATTTAATGTAATATTAACAACAAACTAATTTCATAATATAATTTAATTGTCTTAATACAGGAGTTAATATAATTTCATAGTTTTGGAGCACTAACTAGACAAAGAAAAATGTACAAATTACAACCAAAAGAGCAGTTTCTGAAGGTTCAATAAAAGTGACATACTATAAAGCTATAAACTTGAAAATGATAAATAATGAGAGCGTGAGTTCAACAACTAAGTGAGTATATAATGTTCAATATATACACATGAGGTAATATAACAATGATGAATATATACACAATTATGGCTCTAAGTTTCTATAGGAAGGTCTATCAAATAGGCCATAACAATAATATTATAAGGTAAACATCGTCAGAAAATCAAAATACAATAAGCATAAGGCTCCGTACTATAGGATGATCAATCCACACAGGGTGGTGACTTCTCTGAACAACTAGGATTCAGATATGATGTGCACAAAGACTAACACTACCCTGTTAGCATGAGTATTTTGACACGACTAAAAGATTGATGTCTTCTCCCAAGTGTAGGAGTGTCGAAGTAATAAATAACTCGGCAAGACCGAGGTTGAACTACAAGGAGGTTAATTGTATAAATTATAGATAACAATAATACAATAATAACAATAACAACAATAATAGTAACAATAATTACAATAATAATAAAAATAATAATTATAATAGTAGTAGTAGTAGTAGTAATAATAATAATAATTATAATTATAAAGAAGAAAAAGAAGAAGAAGAAAAAGAAAAAGTTGATGAGAACTTTGAGATGAAAGATTAATGTAAGAATTAAATAATGATAATAATAAATGTCAAGGTTAGAGGATCCACTAATGATATGTCAAAAAAGTATAGTATAAACTCTTATTACTCAAATGAAAAACACACACAGAGGAGGTTCCAATCAGATTATAAATTGTTAACATGATTACATTAGTTGTCTTATTCGATTAATGCTAATACTTGTAAATCTCGTTAGACATTCATGATTATAACTTATGTTAACAACAAATCAAGTTCCTTTCATAGCTCAGGTGTCGGTTATACCATACAATATGGGCTATGAAAGTGCCAAGCATTTGATGTACCAAGTGTTATACAACATAAATCTAGATTAGTCATTTAACAAGTAAAGTATTAAAGACTGAATAAGATAACAAATATAAAACATGTTAGTATCAAACATTAAAGCTCATGTTAAGTTTACACTATACTTATTCTTACACCATTAGTATAACCTTTTCACCTTGACATAATAAACTTAACTAAACATAATAAAAGAAAGAAAAATAAATAAACAAAATAAGAACATAAATAAGATAAAAGTTAACTAAGTAAAGGAAAAGAAATGAAAGGCATAAACTTGATATTAATAAAAACAAAACCTAAACATTACAAAAATACAAAGAGAGAAAGTAAAAGCATGATCTTGATCTAGAGACCAAGATGCCTAAATGCATGACAAATGCCTCCTTTTATAGGCCAAAATTAAAAACTATTGATTTGATGATTAATTGATGAGTGGGTGGCCAACTCTTGACTTGATGACAATCCTTATCTTCTCTTGTCTGCCCAAAACGTCATTAATAACGTCAAAATTGAAACCACTTGAAAACATGAAAGTTGTAGGAAATTGTCTCAGATTTCTAGGGTAAAACATTGAGATCATTTGGACTTTTAGAACTCCAGATATGAGCCAAACACTAAACAATGCTCGGGCTGGAGGACAAATTCAGACTTCTTTGTTATTATTATAATTTGGATTTGTAAATGGTCTTTTTAAATCTTGGGCTCTATATGAAAGTTGTAGGCCTATGTCTTACCTTTTTATCTATATAAAGTAGACCTAAATCTGAAATCTACAACTCCATATATGACCCAATTACCGAAAAGTGTTCTGGTTTGGACTACACCGACATCTCTTTTCTAAGTTTGGCCATCTCTTTGTCCTTTCAATTCCAGTTCTTAATTAATACTTAAAAGTGCATTTTTGTATCAAGGTTTTACATCATCATGCTGCACTTGAAGTATCAATAACTCTATAACTAAAACATATTTTATAATAATATATCTAATAATATAAGATACCTTTAATTTGTAGTAAATATTCATTTTAAATGCAGGCCTATCACATAAATGAAAGGATTGATTGATGAATTTAAGAACTGAAATTGAAAGGACAAAGAGATGACCAAACTTAGAAAAGAGATGCTGGTGCAATCTAAACCGAAATACTGTTCGGTAATTGGGTCATATTTAGAGCTGTAAATATTAGATTTAGATCTACTTTATATAGATGGAAAGGTAACACATAGGACTACAACTTTCATATAGAGCCTAAGACTTAAAAAGGTCATTTTCAAGTTTAAATTGTAGCAATAATAAAGAAGTTCGAATCTGTCTTCCAGCTTGAGCATTGTTCAGTGTTTGACCCATATCTGGAGTTCTAAAAGTCCAAATGATCTGAATTTTTTACACAAGAAAGATGAGATAATTTCCTACAACTTTGATGTGTTCAAGTGGTTTCAATTTTGACGTTATCAATAACGTTTTGGGCAGACAAGAGAAGATAAGGATTGTCACCAAGTCAAGAGTTGGTCACCCATTTATCAATTAGTCATCAAACCAATAGTTTTCAATTTTGGCCTATAAAAGGAGGCATTTGCTATGCATTTGGGAATCTTAGTTTCCAGATCAAGATCATGCTCTTTCTTTCTCTCTTTGTATTTTTTGTAATGTTTATGCTTTGCTTTCATTAATATCAAGTTTATTTATGCCTTTCATTTCCTTTCCTTTACTTAGTTAACTCTTATCTTATTTATGTTCTTATTTTTTTTATTTATTTTTCTTTCTTTCATTATGTTTAACTAAGTTTATTATGTCAAGTGACACGACTAAAAGATTGATGTCTTCTCCCAAGTGCAGGAGTGTCGAAGTAATAAATAACCCAGTAAGACCGGGGTCGAACCACAGGGAGGTTATTTGTACAAATTATAAATAACAATAATACAACAACAATAACAATAACAACAATAATAACAATAATAATAACAATAATAATAATAATAATAATAATAGTAATACTAATAATACTAATAATAATAATAGTAGTAGTAGTAGTAGTAGTAATAATAATAATAATAATAAAGAAAGAGAAGAAGAAGAAGATGATGAGAACTTGGAGATGGAAAATTAATGTAAGGATTAAACAATAATAATAACAAATGTCAAGGT